AAATTAAGTATATATGATGTCATTTACTCTTCAAATATCTTGTATATTTGGAATATTTTTGAGATTGTGAATATGACCAAGGTTATGCTATAATGTTGGATCAAATTAGAATTAAATTTTAACATCTTACATATGAACCAAGTTAATTTAAGAATTAAATTGTGCAATAACTATTGGATCGTATGTTAGGCATAAAGTATTTAATGACTGTTGTAACGGTTTTGAGATCGCTAGACATAAATGAGTTTTAAAATCGAAATAAATAAAAGAAGTCACCACCAATCTTTGTTAGGGTGTGATTGGCCATCAAAAAGTTTATCTTTATAATAAAACTATAAAAATATGTTTAAAGTTTATCAAAAAGATAAATTTTGGTCTACGAAAAATCAAGTTAGGTTCGAGAGTCGGTTACGTGTAGGAAATGATTAGCACCCCCACAACGCCCATAAATTGGTACCATTTAATTATGCGTTATTTTCGATGTTGGGTAAAAATGGTTTTGACTTGAAATTTAATACTAATTTCTTTCGTTTTAAAAAATATTTTTGCTAAAATTTTTATTTAGAAATATTGAAAAAATCTTTAAGTTAAAAAATTATCTTAAAATTTTTCAACATCTAGGCAGAATTTAAAATAACTCTTTTCGCTTAAGATTTAACACAACAATCCTTAAAATGAAATAACACTCTTTATAGAAAATTGTTGGTGACTCTCCAATATCTAAGCAGAGTACCAAAAATTATTTCTTTCAGAATGTTATTTTTATTTTTTTTTGAAAGTATTATTTTTTTATTATAAAATATTTTATCACCAAGTAGTAAATAAAGATTAAAGATAGAATAGTACAAATAATTACTGATAATAACATGCTAACGTATGTATACCAATGAATGTTATGTATGATGAAATGCAATTTAAAAGTTGGATTCTTAAGTATAATGAGGCCACCCCGACTTTTCAACATCTAAGCAGAGCTTAGGTGCAACTGTTTATATTTAAGATCCCAATTTACTATTATACTTTTTATTTATTAATCTTATTATTAATGCGAATTAAAAAATCGTGTGAAAAGACTTAACGAAGTAAAATTTTCTAAATACCCATCATCTAGGTGACATTCGAGAATAAATTGCTTCAAATGAAATTTTTACACGTGTCCTTAGGATTTTTAGAATGTTTTGAGTAAGGGCTTGGGTAGAGGTTTTCAAGGTTAGGGTTTTAAAATTTTGAAGATTTGGATTTTAGGGTTTTGGATTTTAGGGATTTTGAGTTTTGGGGTCTAGATTTAAAGGTTGGGATTTTAGGGTTTTGGATTTTAGGGAGTTTGGATTTAAGGGTTTAAAGGTTTTAAGGTTTCAGATTTTAGAGGGTTTGGATTTAAGGGATTTTGTATTTTAGGGGTTTTAGAATCCTAGGGTTTTGGTTTTAAAAAAAGAGGTTCCGTTTTTAAGAAAATACGAACATCTCTAAAAATCTTCAACATCTAGATGAATTTTTGAAGCAAGTTCGATTTTAGTGATTTTTTAAAATTAATCAATAATTTCTCATATATTTATTTTTTATGAAAATTTATTAATAATAATTTCCCAACATCTAGGCGAAATTATTTTTAGAAAAATATTTTTATTCCTTCCAACATTTAGGTAGGAAAAATAATAAAAATTATTTTTTTTAGCATTTTTAATATATATTTTTAATTATTATCTTACTTATTTTTATTTTTATTATTATTAAAACAATTAATATTTATCCTAACAAATTTAAAAACTTATCATGCATAAATATATAAAAATACTTAAAATAACAAAACTAATAATATATAAAAAAATTAAAAAATTAAAAAAAAATTTTACCTGAACCGGATCGGTCAACAATCCAGTCCATGACGATTTGGTTGGACTGAAAAGGGGTTAGTTCGACGTGCGGTTCAATTGAACGGTCTACAGTTCGATCCAGTTCAAACCGGTTCAATTGGATCGGTCAGCAACTATTGGAAGAGCGGGTCCACAGGTAGGGTTACGCGGATCCCAGGTAGGATCCAGGTCAACGCGCGGATCCTCATTGACCTAAAACGACGTTATTTTGCTCCTTAGTCTTTTATATATAATTGAAAAAAAATTTATTCTTTTTCTATTTCAGAAAAAAAAAAAAAAAAGGGAGAGCTCTCTCACCGTCTGGTCGTCCAACTGTCGCTCTGGTCACCGTCTGAGTCACCGTCAGTGGTGGTTGTCGGTGGTCGTCGGTGACCGAAAAATGTCAAAATACTCCAAGAAGCACTCTTCCTAGATCTGACCTTTTTTTTTGTCGAAAATAGCTCTGATTAGCGTAGATCAGGGCTTAAAGTTTCTGTTTCCCCTTTTTTCTTTTTTTTTTGTTTTGTTTTGTTGAAACAAGACTAACGTGATTTTTTTTGCTTTTGCAGGTAACTTTGGCACTGGGTTCCTCTATGCGGGGAGGACTGTGTTTGTCTTTTTTTTTTGTTTTTGTTTTTTTGTTTATTTTTTCTTTTGGTTGGTGTGGGTTCTGTTTGGGGTTGTTGAAAGAAGAGGTTTAGCGTGGTGTTTGTGGTTGTTGAAGGAAGATGTTTCGAGGTTTGAAGGATCTGATCGAAGGTTTTTTGAGAGGGGTCTGTTCCTTGTCTGAAAGTTTTTGGAAATGGGGGTCCGAAGGTTTTTGAGAGGGGGGTCCGAGAGAGAGGTTTCAAGGGGAAGAATCTATGAGGTTTTTAAGGAGCTTCAAAGGGGAGCAAATGATGGTTATAGGGGTAGCTGTAGGTGGGTTGAACAGGAGACTGGTTAGGGGCTGGACTGGGGGCTAGTCGGGGGCAACAGCAGCGCCGTACTAGCCTTCTGGTTTCTATCTCCTTTTTCATTTTTTTTATTATTATATTTTTTAAATTATTATTATTATTATTATTATTAAATTAAAATGAAAACAGTAGACTCAGACAAAATCGTCGTCTACAATGACTATGCGTGAAAGTTCTACCAAACAAGTGATGGTAGATAGTTCCTTTGTACATTAGTTGATGCATTCATTGTTTGATTATGAACAAGCTTTGGAATTGTAAAGTGTTGATATATGAAATTTATGAAAGGCATTTTCAAGAACATATATGTGGACAAGTTTAGTATCTTGAGGAATACTCGTAGATTATTTCTTTCTTTACTTTTTTCTATTGGGCAGAATGGTGGCAATAAATAAAGTTGTAGAAGTTTGCAGTAATATAATAATTCTATTTGCAAGTAATTCCTTCATGACTCCTTTTAGATCTATAGATTCTATATTTTCTCTTTTTTTTAGATATATGCAACTTTTTTGAATAATTTTTTAAGTATTACTTAAAAATTTTAAAGTTGTCTGTTTGATGAAAAATCTGCGGAAGTTAAATAATATTAAAAAAAATTAGTTAACCTCAAATAATTTGTTAGGTAAATAAATCATTAATAGACTTTTTTCAAAATCAAATAGCATTAGTGACCAAAGATAAGGAAAAATAAGTTTTAAAAGGGAATGTAGTTCCTAAATTTTTTTTTTATTAATAGATGAAAATTGTTGTTTATGTATAAGGTATCAAATTTTGTTAATCGAGTGACAAACATTATCATTATAGAGCAAAATAATTTATAATATGATGGCCACCAACTTAAATTTTATGGCTATTAGATCTTCATTTTAATAAGGGAACCTAGATCTACCAAATAATTTTGTGCTATTATTTATTCCTCTTTTAAGTTGTAATTTGAAGTTATTATCTGATTCAAGTATTGATTAATATCATTCTTTGCTCAAATTTCACCGGCTCGGTTGGTAACTTTAGCTTTCAATATGCTTTCCTCACACCATAAACTTATTAAAATGTCTAGGATTTATGCTCTGCATAAACAATTTTGGTGTGCTTTTTTTTTATTTGTTGCTTTAAAAATGCAATTTAAGTATAGATTATTACATGTTTTAAAGAAAAACATGTTAATACATCTCTTACAGTTTTAGTTTTTTTTTTTTTTCTTACTTTTATCATACATTTTGGATTTTTTTTTAAAATAAGGCATCATAGTGGATTATGGTGAGTTGGGAAAATATCTAAAATAAATTATAAAGAGAAAATAAAAGAATGCTAAGAAAGTCATGGAATAGGTTGTTGAAGTTGTGGTTGTGGATTAAGCTCATTACTTTAAGCTTATGTTGCCCTTAATTAAAGGTATTATTTTCTCTTCTTTATTAAGTTTCGTAAGTAAGAGTTTTTTTGTTTCTTTAGTCCCTCTTGATAAAAAAATAATTTTCTTTATGAAATTGTTCCATACACAATAATTAATTTGTGTTCCTACTCCAAGCAAATGCATTTTCATATTTGATTTAAATCTTATAATACTATTTTATTTTTCTATTTTATTCATTAATTCTTTTTAATTTGTTACATTATAATTTTTCAATATTTTATTATTTTTAAATAAAATATATTAAAATAAAAAATATGTAACCGCAACGAACCGTGGACAATTTTCTAATTCTATTAAAATTGCCAAAGTGGCATGAACTATGCACACAAATAAAAAAAAAATAATGTACTTAATTTTGCATTTGGATCCTTTTTCATGAGTCAAATTGAAATTGGAGGACCAGACCCTCGTTGCTAATTCGATGGCCTTGGTAATAAAATTTTTTAAGTTAAATTCAATTTACATAATATTCTTGTGGTTTTTATTTTTTTATTTTTATATTTGATACTCTGTGATAAATTTCATTCTGAATAATAATTGATAAAATTCCAAAAATAATATATATGAGAAAATAATATAATTTTTTAATAATGAGTATTTTGATAATTTACTATGAAGTTTACTTAATTTTGTATTAGTTTTGAAAATGAATTACTCCTAAATAATATTTTAATATTTCTTATATTTTGTAAGGCATAATTTTCTTTTACAAACTTTCCAAGATTTTTAATTTCGCACATGCTCAAATTAAAACATACTAATATTTCATTTGTCTTGGGGATCAAGAATATTCAAAGACCATCGGGTCACACTAGCTAAGATCAAAGAGCCGACGGTTGCAATAGTGTTATATAATAAAACCGCCTGAAATTTGCCTATTCCCATTCCCTAAACCCTCCTATTTTTCTCTCCTAAACCCTCCCATTTTTTCCCTATAAAAAACCCTGATTTTTTTTCTCTTATATTTTACAACTTCAAATTTTTATGTATTGATCGATCCAAAATATTCTTTCTCAACAAGCTCTCTCATTGTAAGTGATACCATTTTATTCAGCAATTTATTTTTCTTGGTTATCGTTGAATTTCGCAACTTCAAATTTTATTGTAATTTTCGTTTTACTTATAATATTTATTAGTCGAATCTGAAAATGAATTATGATTATAAAATATATATTCAATTTTTTTTCTTTGGAATTTTCCAAATTTTGGATTCCTGTTTAGTTGCTAAGAACCTTTATGTTTGAAACAAAATGAAAATTTATATTTGTATTGTTTGATATGAAAAGAAAATTTTTTTTCTCTGATACGAAAAGCAAACTGATAGTAAAAGGAAATTGAAAGATTATATCAACTTCTGCTTATATTGCTTTTATTATATCTATTTTTTATGAGAAATAGATACTTTGGTGTGTGTCAAAATTTGTTTAGTATGGTTTTTTTGAAGCTTTTTTTTCCTATTTTTTGTTTGAGTTTATTTGTTAATTGTCTGACTTGAAGAAAATAAAATATATATAATTTTACTTGACCAGCTACTAATCTTGACTCCTTGATTGATGTGATGCAATTTAAGGATTATTTATTTAAAAAAGAGTTGATGTCATGCAATTCAGAGATTATTTATTTAAACAAGAGAAGAGTTTTGAATGTTGACACCATTTTTCAATTTATGAACTTGTTAGGTGTTGTTTATATTTAATAATATTCTTTTTTTTTCTTTATTTGAAATGTTATCTCAACCAGGTTAATTGAGTGGTTGTTCAAGAAAAGTGAATGTCTTCTTGTTGACAACAACAACGATTGATAATGGCTTCTAGAGTGATTTTAAGAAGGAAGAGATTTATTTCCGATTACTTGAATGGCTCATCACACTCAGTCCAGATCTTTCAGTGTCTTGGTTATTCTACTCAAAAGTTGGAATCACGTAGTTATAGATCCAATGTGGCCCATCCATCTGAAGATTTTAATCATGTAAAGAAACTGGATGTAAATTCTCTTTCCAAAAAGGATTTACGGGGTTTTTCAGGATTAGGATACTTTAGTTATAGATGTCAATTTTTGGGTCTTGGAAGTGCAAAATTTCAATTCAATTCTCCATTGAGTGTCAGATTGATGTCCTATTCTGTTCGTTATTCTTCGACTGCTACTGCTAAACAACCTGAATCAAGTAGTGATGATGAGGAAAATGAAGAATTGGTTGCTACAAAGAGAAAGGAAGCATCTGCAGAAGAATGTGATCAGGCTGTTGAAGGTTTGAGTACTGCTAAAGCAAAAGTGAAGGCTAAACGATTGCAAGATTCTCAGAAGGTTGTCAAATCCATTTTGCAAAGAATCTGGGTCACAATTCTTGGAATTGGTCCTGCTTTAAAAGCTGTAGCTTCTATGAGCAGGTCAAATGCTATACTTTAATTCTTAAGGTTTTTTAATAAATCAATTTACATAATTTGAATTTATTTTTGATGTACTGCATATTTGATATTCTATACCTTTTTGCAGGGAGGATTGGGCAAGGAAACTTGTTCATTGGAAACACGAAATCCAGTCAACTTTGCAACACTATTGGTTGGGTTTTAAGCTACTTTGGGCTGATGTGAGGATTAGCTCACGATTGCTTCTAAAGCTATCTGGTGGTAGAAGTTTATCTAGAAGGGAGAGGCAACAGCTGACTCGAACTACCGCTGATATCTTTAGGCTAGTTCCGTTTGCAGTTTTTATCATAGTTCCGTTCATGGAATTTCTTCTGCCTGTTTTTTTGAAACTGTTCCCTAACATGTTGCCATCTACTTTTCAAGACAAGATGAAAGAGCAGGTACAGTGGCATTCTTTCAAATTACCTCTTTTTAGAACCTCTCCTTTTAAAGCAGGAAGCACTGAAGTTAGGTTTGTCCTTTATACATGCATTAAGTCATAAAGTGGGTTAGAATGAGCCAGCATTTTCTTTTTCACGCTTAAACTGATATCTTTTTATTTGCATAGTTTTCTTTCCAAACAACAGAAGTTTTCATTCTCAATTTTATTATGATTGCATATGTTAATAAATTATGCATTAAATTTTCTGAAATTTTTTTATATAAAGAAGGGATGGTGGTTCTCAATACTTGTTTGAGATCATATATGTGAACAAAACTTGAACTAATATGTGTGTGCACCTTGATTTAAGCCTCTTGAATGGATCAGAATGATTTTAACCAGCAGGATGTTAAAGTACCTTCAGAACAATATTATTGAATGAGTGTGGTAGGCATCTTACTTTCCGTATAAGTCTACTGGTTATTGTTATTGCCATTTTGTTTCTTTTTCTGTTGAACTTATAGCAGCTAGTATTTTTTTTTATATTCACCAGTTTCCTTTGGTACAAAATGGACTGAATCTTTCTGCTTCATTTTTAAATATTGAATTACTCAAATTTTGGGATACACGTGATTTCTCCGTGTGATAGGGCATGCAAGCACACTTGCTTGTGTAGCTGGGCATTTAGAAGTGCACTTGTTTAATATACTTACTTACCTATGTGTCTGTTTGTGAGGAGGCAGATTTTTTGTGTCAACTGTGCCAAGTGTGTGTGGCTGTGGCATGCCTCTGCTCCCCTCCCCCCTCCCCTCCCTTTCCTTTTTTTTTTGTTGTTTTTTCAATGCATTTGTTTTTGCTTGCTGAACATGTAGGAAGCACTGAAAAGGAAGCTCCATGCAAGAATAGAATATGCGAAGTTTCTTCAAGATACAGTCAAAGAAATGGCAAAGGAGGTTAAAAATTCAAGGAGTGGAGAAATTAGGCAGACTGCCGAAGATCTTGATGAATTTTTGAATAGGGTAAGATCCTATCTCACCCACTGTTTTTCTTGTCTGTTTTCCCTTGTTTCCATTACTTAAATTTAGCAATTGCAATCTTGATATTTTGCAGGTCAGAAGGGGTTATGGTGTCTCGAATGAGGAGATTCTTGGCTTTGCCAAGCTGTTTAATGATGAACTCACTCTGGATAATATCAGCAGGTTAATCTCCATTTTTAATGGTTTTGTATTTGAAAGCATTTGACTATTTAATTTAAATTTAATTGTTAATTAAGCATAGTTGTGCAATTTTCTTTCATGTGTTTTCTTCTGTTTGTTTTGTTCCAGGCCTCGATTGGTAAATATGTGCAAATATATGGGAATCAGGCCCTTCGGAACAGATGCATATTTGCGTTATATGCTTAGGAAGAGACTCCAATGGTAATACTTGTTTATCCAATCTGAATTATAGTAACCATTATGTAACTTGTTTTGGCAGCACATGTCAGTGGAGTTGGATGTAGCCGAGAGGAGTGAATGGACGCTTCCAGATCTGCTCCATTGAACTTGTGATTCATTATGGTTGCTTGGGCGGGTTAATTTTACCTGAGTTTATTTGACTTGATCATATATGAACTCATTATAACATGTTGGCTTTTGGAGAGGTATCTGGTTATCATGTTATTGATGGTTCTCTTTTCCACTTGTAAAGTTTAAATATAATTAAGTTTATCTCCTAAAGCATAACTTGTTGTATTGAAATTTAAAACCACTACGTTTCATGGAATGGGTATTCGTTTATTTATTTAGTATTCTGATTTTTTTTTTTTTTTGGGGGGGGGGGGGGTCTTCAAATTGGTAACTTACTCATACCACTTTGGAATATATAATGTTGAAATTAGAACTTGAAATACATAGGCATGTCTCCTTGAATGCTTTTGGTACATGAGAGCCATTGTATTGGAACCTTCCATCTCATACTCTGCCTTTATTGATATATGGATTGTGTAGCAAAGTTTTTAGCATATATGGAGAACTAAGGCGGTAAGTTTGTATACTGTGGTGGTACTTAAAACCGTTGTTCTGTCCTGAAGCATCAATACATTTTCATATATTTGCTTGATCACAGAATCTTTAATCCTTATATTGTCATATATTTGTTTATTTCTATGGAAGAGTAAGCTGCACACTCCAAGCTCTATATGGAGCAGTTGATGCAAAGATATTTTTCTGCAAATATGCATGCTTGACTCTTTATTTTTTCAGATGATAAAACTATTTTACACTCCTCTTTTATTTTCTCTCTTAGCGGAATTATCTTTGGTTAACTTGGAAGTGTTAGAATAAGCATAGGGCAGAAGCAAATATGAAAAATATTAGAGGAGTAGTTACTGAGTCATGTTGACATTTGGGTTTGATTCTTACAGCATAAAATTGTTTAAATATTGATCCATTGTTCAGGAGGATTTTACTATAATAATTCACATAGAAGATTGAGCAAAGTGTGGTATTCTTTTGATTTATGGTTTTCTTTCTAATGGTTTTTAGTTGAGGCAAGTTATTTTCTTTAGCTTCTCCTTCACTTTAACTTTTAGGATCCAACTAAGCTCTCTTTTTTAAATCCTTAAACTGTGTGTGTCGCTCTCTCTGTCTCTCTCCTTTTTCAGTATTTCTGAAGTCATTGAGAATGTTGTTATTATTACTATTTTCTTATAGTTATTATTTATGTTTTAGGATTAAGAATGATGACAAGCTGATTCAAGCAGAGGGCGTGGAGTCCCTATCAGAAGCTGAACTTCGTGAAGATTGTAGGGAGCGAGGCATGCTTGGAGTGCTCTCAGTAGAAGAAATGCGTCAACAGGTGTTGTTTTTTAATTTTTTATGAGCTTATTTACTTTTCTGTTTGCCAATTAAGGGCTTGAGAATCTGCAATCTCTACCTGCACCTTATTTGCAATTATAAGTTGTTGATGACATATGCAATTAATTGCAATATTGAGTAGAATTTTATGCTACTATTAAACATGGTTAATGTCTTGCCTGCAGCTTCGGGATTGGCTAGATTTGTCTCTTAATCACTCAGTCCCATCTTCCCTTTTGATCCTTTCTAGGTGATTTGAAGTTCCATTTATTTTCTTTCTTCCCATCTTTTGTGGGTACCGAAGTTTATAGATGATGCATATGTCTACCTTTTCTTTCATCAGATCTGAATCTGTATTATTATGCTTTGATACCCTCTGCAGGGCCTTCACTGTATCAGGAAAGCTGAAGCCAGAAGATGCTGTTCGTGCTACCCTTTCTTCTCTACCTGATGAAGTTGTGGATACTGTTGGTGTTACAACTTTACCATCTGAAGATTCTGTTTCAGAAAGGAGAAGGAAGCTGGAGTACCTTGAGATGCAGGAAGAACTGATCAAGGTTGAGAAGGAAGATGTTTTCTTTATATTATTATCATTTGAATAGCCTCATCTACTGTAGGTTGTATACTATTGAGGCCTGCTATGGGGTTCTGTTGCTCCCCTTTTTTGTGAAATAGTTGGGTATAATCTTAATGCATGTAAACAGAGGCCTCTAGTCTTGAAGTTTTCAACTTAGGCTTTAGAAATGAGCCTAAAAGCAGCTTTGGAGTTCTTGAGCACTTCTTTTGAATTGCCTTGCTTGTTCTAAATCGGTACCTTTATAGGAGGAGGAAGAGAAAGAAGAAGAACTGGAAAGGATGAAGGAATCTAAAGCTAGTGATGAGGATGTTGCATTGAAAGAGATGACTATCCCAACAGCTAGAGAAGCACAAGAACAGGCTATAGCAAGAGCATTGGAAAAACAAGAGCAGCTCTGTGAAATTAGTCGTGCATTGGCTGTTTTAGCTTCAGCATCTGTAAGGACTCGATTTTAAGATTTTCTTCAGTGATTGTCATTCCGTTGGTTCTGTTCTATTGTTTTCTTCCTAGCATTGCCACTTGCAATGTTGATTTGACTTTACTTTGTTCCTAATATGCAGTCTGTAAGCAGAGAGCGTGAAGAGTTCCTAAGTCTTGTCAATAAGGAGGTATGTTATACAGTTGGATATCTTGTGATTTGGTTGTTGAGAAGAACTGCATGTGAATGATGTCTACATATTAGTTTTAACTAGTTATTGTCAGAGGTCAAGGAAGAAAATTTAACAAATAAAACAGTCTTTTTGCAATGTCCTTATGGTATTCTTTTGAACTAGATGTTTTAAGTACTCATTTTTCACTAGTAGCTTACTAGGTTATTAGAAGCGTTATTTGGTCTCTACTTGCACCTTTTAAGTTGGAAAAATCATTAAAGAAATGATAAATTTTCTAATTCTGATTCCGCCCCTTTTTATTTTCTGTTGATGTTGGATTTTTTGCCAATGTTGCCAGATAGAACTTTATAATAGCATGGTAGAGAAAGAAGGTGCAGATGGTGAAAAGGATGCCATTAAGGCATATAGAGCGGCACGAGAAGAGATTGACCATTCTAGTGAAGTGTCTGAAAGTGATGAGGTTTCTTCGGTGCTTATTGAAAAAGTAAGAATTATTGGAACTAACTTTTATTGCAGTTTCTCTTTTTCTTATCATATGTGATAGAAAGCAAATTATTTACCATTCTTGTCACTCTTAGGTTGATGCTATGCTCCAAAATCTTGAGAAGGAAATTGATGATGTAGACATAAAAATCGGTGATCATTGGCGATTACTTGACAGGTGCAAATTTGTTTTTGGACTGTTTCCTTTCCTCCTGCCTTGTATTTGTTCTATGTTGCCTGCAAACAGTATGATGTTTTGTTATCATGATGTTATGTTCTGTTATTGAAAAGGATTAATGGAGTTTGGTGTTATTCATATCAATCATCACATGGGCACAGTTACTAGCATATTAATGATCGCAATGGCAGGGTTACCTTGCAATAAAGATTTTAAAGTTGAAAATATTTGGGTTACTAGGCTACAGTAGTGTCCAGGGTTAATTATTCTTGTCACCATTATTATCTTTTTTTTTTTGGACTACACTGTTGGAGGTAACCCTCTCACGTCCCATAAATCCCCTCTTGTACATCCAACGGTTCAAACCCGAGACCTCCAAGTTGGAGTCTCAAGTTCTAACTGCTGGTGTTCCTGTCGGGGATCCCATCTTGATTAAATAATATTAGCTGAAGCAATCATGAAATGTTCATCGACTTATGTTATATGAAATAGTATCAGGTCCTTTTTGTTGAAGTTGGCCTATGTAGTCAATTTTGTGAAAAATGTCATATGTCTGCAGAGATTATGATGGGAAAGTCACTCCTGAGGAGGTAGCTGCTGCTGCTATATACTTGAAGGATACACTGGGGAAGGAGGGTGTGCAAGAACTCATCAGCAATCTTTCCAAAGATAGAGGTAAGCTAAACAGTTCTTCATATAGCATGAATTTCCTTTTTCTTCCCAAATTGGGCATGGGAAAAAGATAATTTTATCAAAATAAATCTCTAAATAAATTTTGATTACGCTTTCTTGCTGCATCATTGTTGCTTTTAAGTTGTTTGTCGATCACTTGATTTATCTGTTCACAAGTGTGACTGCTATATGTTCTCATCGTTTCAATGCAATAGATGGCAAAATTCTCGTGGAAGACATTGTGAAATTGGGCAGTCGGACGGAAGATGACAATAGCGCCGAGGAGGGGAGACTTTAGAGATTATATATTCGATGCTCAATTCAGTTCCAATGGTCATTTTTTGTAGACCTTGGCTTTTATTCATGGTATTACTGATAAAATGGATGTTTTTGCTGAATGCAGCAAAAATTAAGGGTAATATAGTTAACATATATATTGAAAAACTAGATTTGCATAGAAGCCTTGTTGGTGTAGTAATCATCAAAATAGTTATTGTGCTTGGATTTGGAAATAATACTGCTCTATATTGCATATTATACGATTTAAATTGTTAATTGTGTTTGCTATGTTGTATGCAATGGTATTTGATTTATTTTGCTCTAATCTGAATTCGAAAATCAGTCAGGATCAAAATTTGACTGACTCGAAGTAGGATTCAACATTTTGAAAGGAGTGAAAAAATTAATATGAATCAATTCAAATTTAAATTGATTCATACCATTTTAAGATAATGTCTTTTTTTATTTTTTTAATATACATAGATACTGAGTGATGAAGCAACCAATTGCCGTGTGAGCTAGAACATCGATCTTATCGAGGACTCCCACAAAACTACCAACCCTTTTCTCTGACGTTTCTTCTATGAACTTGCTATGAAGCTTGTTCTTTTATGTTTCTCAATTACCCACAAGAAGCATCTGTTGCCCTTTTCAGCCCCAAGGCTAGTTCAACCATACTTGCTCCTCTGCCAAACCAGCCAAACTTTCGAATAATACATAGATAACTGAGCCGGTTTCTTTTTAGTCTAATCATTTAATGCAAAGGTTATTGTCGGGTTAGAAGTAGATCAGACGATTTATGTTATATAAAATATTAAGATTTATATATTTATATTATATTTTATATAAAAATTACATGTCGAGATAAAAATATAAAATATATTTTTTTATTTTATTAAATCTAAGTATAATTATTATTAAAATTTTAAATTATGTCATTTTTATATCATATTCGTATCGTATTTATATTATCGTATCTTATTTTAAATTAAATTACTAAGTGTATTAGAAGAGGTAGACCGCACGAAACACAAGACGACTTCTTTTAGGCTGTTCAAAGTATAAACAAGAAACCACTAAATTTTCCTGGAAGGCTGAAATTTGACAATTAACACGTCTAAGAAGGATGGATATGTTTGCATATCATGAACAAGGGATGGTTCGTTGCATTTACCTGAAATAGCAGCAAATATACTACATCCATTCAAACATAACCTGAATTATCAGAAAGGAACGATGATTAATCACTCAGTGCTTCGGAAAGTTAAATATATTCAACCATGGTATTTGTTGTTTCACTTTCTTCCAACTCAAGTGACTCGAAAATGGACGATTTGGCGGGTTGCACGGATTTGTCGATGCCATGGGAATATATATCATTTCTAATGATATTTTTAGTAAAAATAAATAATAATGATCAGCTGTATGTTCTGGTCACCATTTTAGAAACCAATTCATCAATGTTCTTGTCTGAACTTCCTCCTTCACTGACTGCCTCAACAGCAAATTCCTTCCATTTTCTAGCATTTTCTTTCATTACTTTCGCTTGTTCCCCTTCCATTACTTGTCTGATGCAAGACTCAATCTCGTCTCTGCTCACAATCCCGTTTTCATCGACCTTAACTCGAACCCCAACCTTCCAAACATCCTCAACAAACTTAGCATCCGTGGTTTGGTCAGTCCATTGCGGCATTGCCACCATTGGCACTCCCAAGCACAAAGCCTCGATGGTCGAGTTCCAGCCACAGTGCGTGAAAAAGCACCCCACAGCCTCATTTGCTAGCACTTCGGTTTGGGGAACCCAATTAGCAATCAGGCACTTATCATCCTTCTCTTCCACGAACTTGTTTGGGATTTTGGCTACCTCAGATGATCGAACCACCCACAAGCAATGTAAATTAGTTTGCTTTAAGCCCCAGGCAAGTTCCTCCATCTGGTTGATGCTTAGGTTAGCCATGCTGCCAAATGAGACATAAACAACAGATCCCGGTGGCTTGTTGCTTAGCCACTTAGTGCTTGTGGAGTCTAGTTTGAAGAGATTTAGATCATAATCCTTGTCATTCTCGACTCTTTTGTCCAAGTACATGGATGGGATTGTTGGACCAATTGTTAACAATGGACTGATCACTTTGGACATTGAATCCACAGCCTGTTGATCAGACGAGACAAAAAATACAGCGAATGAATTTTTTTTGACTATGCATATGTGATAAGAACAAGCACATGTATTGAGATTTGAATTCTAAATCTACATAAATCAAATAAATTAAAATAAGTTAAATTTTTAGTTCAAAATAGTCACTTTTTGTTACTAGTAAATTGTAACATATGATTCCATTCAATGTATAAATAGATACATAATAATTCAAGTAAAGTTGTATCTTTGTATTTCTTTTGACTGCGTTACGATGATTATGAGATGCTTTAATTAGTGATGCAACTTATCATAACCATATGAAAAGGAGGACAGTAACTTTTGTTACACTACCACAAAAAAGTATCAACTGAATTCTCTAATATAAATATATAAATTCAAAAGTTTAAAGTTTTTTACCTAAACAATATGTTTATTCAACTCTAGAGAAGCGATCATCACATTCAACAAATTTTTTTTTTCATTTTTAGGCTGCCATATATATAAAACTAACCTCCTGTTCCAGCTTGTAAAAGGTATTAATAAGAATGAAATCCGCCTTCTCTGCATTAGAAAACTGGTTCAACACCAACTTAAAGTAAGATGGATATGACCCTGCAACATAAATGTACGATGGCAGGTCTCGGAGGTCAAGCAATGGCAATCCAGGGAGGGAGACAGGCACCGATGAAACTGGAAGACTCAATAGTCCATGGTAAGCATAATAGTATATGTAATCAACGGCACATGCCTGAGTAAAAAAAGCTGCTCCGACTATGCCGAATTGCTTGGCTACATCGAGAGCCCACGGAAGTAAAGCATCATATACTATGCAATCAAAAGGATGGGAGGAGTTTTTATGCTTTATGATGAGCTCAACTAGGGTTTTTGATCCAGCAGCTTCTAACCCTTTGAGGTAGTCTTGGATGCTCTCGGCTTCCGAGAAGCCACCTTCGTCACAGCCGTCGGATATTGTGTCGATTTCGATGTCGGAGCCAAATGATTCAGGCTTCATGGTTTGGAAGATGAAGAGGGTGGTGGCAAAGGTTGCCTTCAGTCCTCTGGAGGACAAGCGCTTGGAGAATTGGAGCATGGGGTTAATGTGACCTTGGCTTGGGTAAGGAATTGCCAACACGTGGGCTCTTTTCTCCATCTCTGTCCAATTTATGATCTTCAAGCAAATTGGGAGTGAGCTATTTACAGGGGAAAGCGTGACCAATTAAGAGAGAAAATCACAATATCCCAGCAATTTGGAAGTTGAACATTCTTTGAGTTTCAACCACATGATGAACAGTCGAAATTAGTCAATTCTAGTGTTGATTGATATTATCTCTTTCTCTTCTTTCATTCTTTAATGCTGCAAAGTGTACTGATTTACCAAAAAAAAAAACATTATTTCATTTTTTTATTTTTTTCTGTCAAATTTAAACTTTTAGAATCTTTTGAGATTTTTTGTAGCTCTAAACAATTTCTTGTGTCTGAAAATAAAATTTTTTGAAGGTTTGATCTTTTTGAAGTGTTTCTTTTTTTTATGACTACAAAGATATAAAGAATACTTGATTTGTAGATCTGTTGAAGAATAAAAATATGATTTGTTTATGTAATATTTGGCATAATTGAAAGAACGTTCCATACTAAAATTATTTTTTTCACAATTTTTTTAAATTACATTATTAAATATTTTGAAAGTTTAATTACAAATTATAAGAATTGAGAGGAAAGAATTTCACAATTAAATGACATACAAAATTTAAGATGTACCCAAAAAAAAATATATATATATATATATATGAATGAGTTATACTTGACTAAAAATAGCAAATTATAGTTATGCTAATCAAAGTTTTTTGTTTTTAACAAAGGAAATCATATTTTGCAAATGATGGAAGAGTTGTGATTCTAAAATTTAAAATTTAAAATTATTAAATATTATTTTTTTTAAAATGATTATCTGAATTTAATTATTATCCTCACAAAATGGTTGGGATATTTAATATAGATTATAATATCATCTATATAAATCAATATTTGGTAATTTAATTTTCAACTATATTATCAACCATAACTTTCTTTCCATCACCTTCACAAAAGTGAGATTACCTTGCTCTATACATAAAATTAATACAAATTATGTCAAAAATAATTTTTTGTTTGTGAGTGATTTGTTATTTTATTTTATTTTTTTATTTGTATGATTTGATTGATTGAAATTCATTAAATAATTGAAGGAAAGTCAAGACAGATATTTACTTCATGTGGTCCTCAATTGACCATGTGTAATCAAGAAATAACTATGCATTAAGAATTGAAATTTTATCTTAAAAATGTGGCATTCAATGGATAGTTACGGTCTGTTGGGAATGAGAAAATATTACAACTTATGTTGTAATTCAAAATTAATATACAAAGTGAATAATTATATAATTTGTTGAAAGATTCTTAATTTTAATAATAAAAATCAAATTTTAAATATTTCAAATAAAAAATTATATAAAAAATAGAATATTTATTTTAATTAGAACAAAAGAGCAATATTTTTGCTATAAGTAGTAGCTTCGTTTGTAGTAGTAATAATTAGCAGATCTTACCAATTTGTCAAAAAAAATATATAACAATAATGATTATTGTTGGACGATAAATTATCGTTCTCAAGTTCTTGCTTTAAATTAAACGAAATCAGTGACTTCATCAAGGGCCATGTCATTATCAGTCGATTATAGGATGATACCATAATAATACGAAAAAGTATTTTATGTTTTAATCAAGTCCACACGATTAAAATATGATTATTTATATTATATTCATATGAAACTGTAATGACATATTTAAATCATAATATTATGTAAGTATATATAATATATAAATTATAAAAATTATTTTAATTTATTTTTTAAATAAATTAATAATTAAATTTATCTAATTATTTTGGTATTTAAATAAATTTTTAATTTTTAATTTTTAAATAATTTTTTTCTTAAATACTAATTTAAATAACATTTTTTGTTTAAATAAATTAATTAATCATATTATTTATATTTAATCATATCATATCGTGTTATTTAAGTTGTGTTAAATATAAATTAATTTTAAATATATTAATTATATCATATCACGTGTAATAAATATAATAAACATATCAAGTTCGTATTTTAATTATTCTTATCATTTAAATATTTGTATCGTATTTATATTAAAATATTTATATTATATTTAAAATCATATTTGACATAAAATACAATAAGATAACACGAATTATCAAATCTAATTGTTATGTCTTATTGCTTTCCTTTCCCTTTCAATTTTATGTGGAAAAAATCTTTGTCAATCTTTTATTTTTCTCTTATTTAATTTCTTTATTCATATATATATTTTAAATGTTCTAACATGATTTTTTTTTTTTCCAAAACATCCCTTATTTTTATAATAGGTTAGGAATGAAAATTTAAATAAGTGAGAGATTATTGGTAGTTTAGAATATATTATATTTCATATTAAATAAAAAATTAATTATTTGTAAATAGATTTAATTTTTGTATTAATTTTATTTATATTTTGAATAATTATATTTAAATAAAAATAATTATTATATAATAAATAGTTATAACTTGAATAGATATATAAAAAAATTATCATAACCATTTGATTAGTAATTTATATATGTTTATTTATTATAAGTAATTTTTTTAATATTATTATTTTTATTATTTTTATTAGAGAATTTAAAGTTTTATTATTTTTAGAGATATAATTTTTAAAAATATATTTTTTTAATGCTTCAAAATAAATTTTTATTTTTATTTTTTATATTTTTTATTTATTTTTTTCTAACACTAAACCTCACCTTAGATCTCTTACTTTTCATTCGTTGCCATAAGCAAGAAACTTTGCCTGCATCAAGAATAATCTTTGTTTATATTTGATATATTAGTAGTATATAAATTTTGTATTTGAACTACAAATCATTACATCATTAATAAATAAAATTGTGAAATTAAAAATGTTAATATCTATAAATTTCAATTGTTAATAAAACGATTATAAGTAACAAAAATAAACTTAAACACTCGTAAATATGATTTCTAGTATGGAAATCTTGGACCACAAAAAAAGTTACATCGTTATAATAAACTAGTTGCCAAATATTAAATAACAATTGTGTGATTTTATCAAGTTCTTCGCAAGGCTTACGGGATTTGCATTTTTTTTTTTTTTTTTTAGCTTCTCTTCCATTTTTCAAAGTCACAACTCTTTAACTCTCCAACATTTTTTATATCTTCAAGCGTCACCCATGTCAGCCGCAAGCAGCACTTCAATTTATCCTCTTTCAGGCCAAAACAACTATGTTGCCCTTCAAATCAATGCATAAGATCAATGGATTTTGTTTGATACGTCAGAATCTGAAAAGTTTTGGATTGGATTAAAATGAAAATTAGGACAGATTAAAAAAGCATGGGACATAGAAAAAAATAATTTAAAATGTGATATGATAATATAATATAAAAATAATATAAATAATATAATTTAAAATTTTAAAAAATTATAAATAAATTTAATAAAATAAAAAAAATTATATTTTATATTTTTATATTAATATAAATTATAATATATAATTTTTATATAAAATATGATACGAATATAATATTTTATATAATATAATAATACGAATTATCATGTTTATATGTTTTTTTTTTTTTTGACTTAGCAAACAACCTTATGCTATTTTTTTATTGATTTCTTTTTATTTTTAGATAAATGTAATTTTTTAATCATAAAAAAGAAGCAGTATAAACCTGCAAAAAGAAATCAATGACGCATAAGGAGCCAAAAGGTCTAAACATAGAACAGCTAATATCTAATTGCAGATCAAAACAAAAGTTAAATTCAGATCCGTAGAAGCTACATACACATAGAGTTTGATTTCTCGGGGCAGTGGCGAGGTGAAGAGATCGCAATTACGGCCGATAATGGTTTGAATAATTCGAATTTCATTTAATTTTTTATAATATATAAAATTATAAAATTTTAAATTTGACTTAACTTTGAATCAAAAGTATTACACGATTTAATTTGAATTAAATTCTATTAATTTGATTCATTGATTTTTAAATTTAAATGTTTTATTTTTATATATTATTTTAATATAATTTTTAATATATTTAATTAAATTTAAATATAAAATAATTATTTTGATTTTATAAAAAATTTTAAAAATTAATAAAAATATATATTTAATAAATTCTATTAATTTGGTTTATTGATTTTTTTATTTTTAATTTAAAATTCGATTTGAGTTTAATATATATTTAATATTTAAATAGAATATAAAAATTATCCTAAACAAAATAAAACACTAAATTTTGATTTGTTTTTATTTTTTAATTTTTTTCTCACCCTAATAGCCATGCTTAAATTGAACAGCTCCATTATTTAAAAAAATGAAAAAATAAAAACGAAAAAAGAAAAGAAAAATTGAACAGCCTCTCCACTAAACTAATGCTACTATCAAGTAAAAGTCTGCATGGAGAGCGTCCAAATCCGACGCTGATTTCGTTCTTTCCAGATGAGATATACGTGAGCTGTCCAGGCTAACTTTAGAATAATTGTGGCTAATAACTTGCCAGGAAAATTGCTAATGCATGGCCCAGCGTAATTCCAAAGACCCCTTGTGAATAGCACTATCAGTGGGGCATGGTAGAGGCTGATAGATGCTCTAAAATAAATTAATTAAAAATAAAATACATAATATGATATAAAAATAATATAATTTAATATTTTTAAAAAATTATAAATAAATTTTAAAAAATTAAAATTTTATATTTTATATTTTTATATAAATATAAATTATAATATATAATTTTTATTTAAAATATTATATAATATTATATAAATATAATATTTTATAACATAAATTATAATTTAATTTAAAATAAAGTATTTATGTCCATTTTAAAGATTATATAATAAAAAATTTTAAAAATCTATGAATATCTCATCATTTTTATTTGAATAATTTTTTGTCAATAAAATTAATAAATTTATTAATAATTTTTTTAAATATTATACATAAATATTTTTTATGTATTAAAACGTTTGTAAAAATTGGCAACCAAGCAAGAAAATCAACAATATCAGAAGGCATAGAACGATGGGATCCACGTCATGGACCTACCCACCACCGTTGGATCAGATTCACATTTTTTCATTGCAAAATCATTAGCTTTACTCCGTCGGACTGTGACATCATCACTGGTCCCTCTCCTTGTCTTTTTCCGCCGCCCCATTTTCCCTGCCTCTCCGTTTTCTGCTCTCCATTCTTATCCACGTGTCAATATAATATTGGTCAGTCTTTTTGGTTCACCGGCGATCCTGTGGACGTACGAGGTGGCCCCCACTTTATGAAATCAATCACCACCACCCGTACACAGCGTCACAGTTACAAGCCATCGGGATTTCTTATCGTCTCATTTCCTGATAAATTCAAATTTTCCTCATTTGCTTTTTTTTTTTTTCTAACTTTGATAAAGAAAATTTTAAAATATTTTTAAGATTAATTATTATAATAATACTTTATATTAGATGCAATCATGCGATCATTCACAATTAATATTATAAATTTTAATGTATTAAAAATTACAATTTATTTAATATAACAATCAAACACTCGTTAGCAAATTTTTTTTATCATCATGCAAAATAATTTTTTTCAAAAAATAATATACTATTATATTTTTCTTCTATCAAAAAATATTTTGTTTATCTATTCTACACACTATATTTATATACGTGAAACCATTTAATCAATCAAAATATAATCTTTTAAGAAATTTGAATTTAATTGTTTTAAGGATACATGAATATTTATCATCACATGGAGTACTCAAAATAATTCTAATTTTTTATGAGAAAAATAAAAAATAAATAAATAATTATGAAAAAAATAAAAAAAATAATTTATTCAATTCATATTTGATACATTATTGATATATAAATTATTTTTGAAAACCAAAAAAAAAAATCATATAAGTTGCTATAGTTTTAAGAAAACTTTCCCACGTCGTCAAAAAAGCTTTAGTGCATGTTTAATGTCTGTTTGATATTGAGTCAAAATTGGATTCTAAAAAAATAATGTTGATTAAAGGATGATTTGACGATTATGTAATTGGTAAAAATTTTTAATAAATGAAAATTATTGATAATCCAATAATAAAGTTTTATAAATATGAAAATAGGCCTTTAACTTTTAAGATCACGAGAGATATAATTTTCATGTGAAAATTGAGTTTGTAAGGATAAACAGAAAGAAAATATCAAGTTAATGGGATAAAAAATTTTATTTTATGTGTTACATTGCATATTAAAAGGTCATGTTTAATATATAAAATTATTGATAGGATATGATATTAATCATTCTATATCATGTTCGATTTGTGTTTAAAAATAAGAATAAAGATTGTAAGGAGTATTAATATCATCTTTATATAGAATTATTCAATTTTCTTCAAGTGAAAAAAATTATTTTTAATTTATAATATTAAACTTACATATCTAATTATATCTTTAAAAATTATATCAATAATTTAAATTATATAAACTTTGAAGAAGGATAATTTAGACAACTAAATAAATTATTTTATTCTAATTCTTGCAAACATCAAATATAAAAGATGATGACATTATTTAATTTAATCATATTAATAATATTATCTTATTTTATCCTATCATAATTTTGTATATCAAACATAACCTAATGAATGCGAAAATTATATTTTTTTCAGGTTTGTAAACGAGTTCTTTATTGAGGTAAGGAAGAGTTATAAATAAGTAAAATAGAATTTACTAAGGAGATAGTGGAGAGGAAGATAAGAGTAAATCTTGAAGTATTGAGCACAAAGACAGACAATGATAATGGTAAAATAAGGTTAAGTAGAGAAGATAACAATGCTTAGAAAAAGATTTAGGAAAAAAGGATTATCGAAATAGTTTGAGAGAAAATGATGAGAAATCTGTTAAAGTCTAAAAGTCTCTCATGAATTGTGAAAATTTTTATTTATAGTTTTTCAAAAATAGGAGTTATATATAGTGAGTATTGAATAGGAATAATAGTGAGTAGTAAAAATTTTGGTTGTTATAAAAAGTATAAATGTATTGTTTAATGAGAGTTTAATTAGCTTATTGATAATGATATAGTAAATATAAAAGTTCACTATCTATTCTAAAGAAAAAGAAAAAGCACTCATATTTAAGAAAAATGTTAAGAAAAAAATCTCTTAACTGTCTCCATATCTGATCCATCAAACCAAGCTCTCTGAAATATCCCAATAGTGAAATTAACCCAAGAACCATATCATATTTTAAGATTATTTTCACTTATTTAGTTAAAATAACATTTGGTGAAACATCTTTTATGAAATAATTTTTAGTGAAATACTTGTGTTTCAAGAGTTTTTTTTTTTTTTTTCCCATAAAGATGTTAGCCTTGTTCATTGAGGAAATTGTTTCGAAAACAATTATTCTATGAATGTGTTATTTCATAAAAGAGTTATTACTTGAATAGTTGTTTCATAAATAACTATTTTATAAAAAAAAATTATTCTATGAATAGTTATTTCATAAAATAATATTTACTAAAACAGTCTTATTACTTGCTCTGACTTATTCTCAATTTTAATAATTTTAGAGAAATTTTAAAAAATAAAGTATTAGTAACCAAAATCAAACATCTATAGGATTTAATATGATTGTTTGTTTTTTTATGTTTTATACTTTTTGTAATTTCTATATATATAGTAAATATTTTTCTTCCATTTGATCAATATAAATAATTGAAATTGAATTATTGTGTATGTAATTTATGTTTTTTCTTAATATTATAACAATATAAATATAGGCCTTTTTTGAAAGCTATCATATCAAGAAACAGAAAGACAAAAATAAAATTATTGGAAATCTTATGGCAAAAAAGATAATCACAATTACACAAAACCATACAAAATCTGCATTGATGAAAGCATAGAAAAATTGAATGGCTATATATAAGTCCAAACCGACCAATTGGGATATGAAGTATTGGATTAGAGAGAGTATATGAATACGCAAAAGGAGTGACAATTAATGTTAGGGACGTTATATCGTTATCTATAGGGCATTTCAATTGCGTCATGTCCATAACACTACAAGAAACTATTTTTGGACACCATTTGGTTTAGTCAAGATTGTAGTAATTAATGATTAGAAACTTCATACTTTAAATCTTGAAACGAACGAATTAAAATTTAATATAATTTCACTTAATTTTTGATGTAGAATTAAGAGATTAAAAATAAATCATCATAATTTATTCATAAAATGATAGATGACATTCAACATATTTAAATTTCAAATCTTAATATTTGAAATCTCTTTTTTTTTTTATTTTCAGATTATGATCATTTTTTATAAAAAAATTATTTAATAGAAAGATGTAATTTTTATTATATAATCTAATATATATCACGAATTAATATTTATGGTATAAAAGATATGTATTTTTTATTGTACAGTATAATATATTTAACATATACTATTTTTTAAAGATTATTTTAAATAAATTTAAATCCAATAGAATTCTAGAAAGTTACAACACAAACGTGTATACGGAAGTAAATGCCATATCTGACAAAAGGAGGAAAAAAAAGTTTGTGAGTAATGGAGTTATATCTAAAATAGCATATAATATTATATAAGATTTGGTTGATATGATAAAAATCATAAAGATACGAATATTAATATATTTGCTATATTTAGATTTATACATAGAAGCTTCGAGGTGAATATTAATAATTTAATATAATTCCTATATTATGACTAATAATAATAACAATACTTAATAAATGCTAAATAATAAATAGTTAATATATTCTTGACATAATATTGAATTTTGTTATATATCGATGTGAATTTCACGGTAATGTTTTTTAATTGAAACAAAAAATTAAATTTATATTATTTTAGAATTAAATTAAATCAAATTTAAATTATTATTTTTTAAATTAAATTGGATGGATCAAATTTGAGTAGCAGGTGGAGCCAATTTTTTAAAATTGGATAAGCTTTTAGATTGAGAAAAAAATAAAAAAAAATTGATTCAAAGTTGTAGTATTTGTTAAGTTGATTTTTTTTATTTATCTAGTTGGAATTAAGTTTAAATATTAAATATATATAATAAATTCAGATAAAATTTTAGATCAAAAAATAAAAATTAAATTATATATTTTTATTAATTTATATATATTTTAAATCTATATAAAACAAAAATAATTATTTTACATTTAAATTTATTTAAATATATTAAAAATCATATTAAATCGTTGAATTAAATCGAATTAAATTAATAAAATTTAATTTAAATCAAATTAAATTACATAAAAATTTAAATTAAAGTTTAAATTAAATTTTAAAATTTTATATAATATCTAAAAAATTAAATCATATTTAATTCAATCTAAACTATTATCATCGTTAACCCTAATTATAAAGAATCATTGAATAATTTTTAAGTCCAAAAATAAAAAAGCTTTTGACGTAAATAGTAGTGCTCAACAACAGCTCATAGAAAATAAGAAGACAATGTATTAACGTAGACAGTCAAATTGAATTTATCGCGAGATAAGTAGCGCACTGATTTTCATCTCACGGTTCTCGTAGTTTCCGCTTTGAACTTCCAACTCAAATTAAGTAATTATTATTTTTATTTTAACGCAAGAAGAAACGAAAACCACCAATAAAAAAATAACGAACTCGTCTGCCCTCTCTTCACCTCTTTTCTTCCTCTCGCTACACGCTAAAACTGCACCATTTTGAAGCTCTAAATACCAACGCTCTTCCACTTCCACCTCTCACTTACAGTTGTGATCCAAAGGTCAGTTTTAAGTCTTTGCTATGTTCTTTTTAATTCCAGTTTTATAAAAAAAAAAGGTTTGATTATTTTTCCTTTAAAGTTGATATTTCTTCATCTTCAGCAGCGATTTTCTTTTTTTTTTTTTCAATTAAATTATATATATTGAAAAATGAATTTACAATAAATTTGTTTTTTTTGTTGTTGTTCAGGTTCTTTTAGCTTTGTAGTGTCAGATTATCAAAAACTCCGAAGAAGATCGAGTAAACATCGAGCGATTTTGGTTTTTTTACTTTTTTTCTAAAGAAGATTTGCCTCTTTATCTATAAAGGTATGAACCGTGAAAAAAAATATCAATAATACAAATAAAAAAAAAGAAAAAGTAAAGCTGAAATTTTTATTTCTTTTCACCGTATTTTCTTGGCCGCCAAGAAGAAATTTATTTATATTCCGTCGTTAATGAAGTTAGCTCAATTAAGGGTTTTTTTTTTTTTTTTTCTTCTATCTGACCCTTTAAAAAAAAAAATTAATTCTTATTTCAAGCATATTGGAAATGGGAAAATGGGGAGTTGAGAATTTTTTAATCTCTTTTTATATTATTTTAATCATAAGAAAACACTAAGAATTATTATTATTATGGGTATAGAATTATGGGGTTTTGCCTTCTTGTAGGTAATTGTTTTAAGTTTTCCTCGATTACAGGTAAGGTTAGGTAGCCGTTAAGAAACACTTTCAGTTGATGCTTTTCCTGTTTGGTTCTGTTAAGGTTTCTGCTTTGTTATTAATTTATGTTAACATTCCTTCTAGGTTTGGCGATTCGTATATTTGTGTGGTGTAAAATATTAAAATTTATGTATTTGTGTTATATTCTATACGAAAATTGCATTTGATATTTCGTGTTTAATCTAAAATATGAAATGTGTTATTTTGGTTTTTTTAAATCTATATATAGTTATTACTAAAATTTAAATTGTGTCAACTTTATGTATTTTATTCGTATAGTGTTAGAATCGTGTCATTGTATCATGTTTTAGATTGTTAGGTCTATTCTAGGACTAGATTTTGACATTATATTGTGCAACACTAAGATTCTATTTAGGAAAATCTATATATTTGAATGAATTTAGTACATATTTGTCTCCCGGTTTCATGTTATAAAGTTGGTTTTATATCTTGCTACATAGCTCACTTACAGTTAATTTATAGTTTTGTACTTTGATTGCTCTATTCTGATTTCTTCCTTTTATCGTTTAACATTAGTGCAGATATCCTGCGAAGAAGTTATATTTGATGGCTTCACCAGCGATTGATTCTGTATGGCTATCCTTGCCTAGCGAGCCCTTTTGTAAATCTTTAAATGTATGTGTAGAGGAAGCAAATCCAGCCGATATTTTACCTGTGCTGGAAGCTCCTATGTCTTCTGTGTCTGATAACTCTAACATCCCAAAACCGCCACCTCTCCCTCATAAAATGTGTACAAGAACTCAGTATTCCAAGAGGCCTCTGGAGTGTAGTTTTGTCCCAAAGGAAACAAAGGATACGTGGGACAAGCTTTTTAAGGAAGGGTATGGTGCAGATGTTTGTATTATCACTGAGGATAAATCATGTGTTCTAGCTCATTCTAATGTTTTGGTGAGTTAATTATATTTTTTTCCTTTTTATTTCTTGAAGTAGTGCAATAAAGTTTGCCTGATTTATATCATAATGTTAAGGAACTTTTCTTCTAATTATTAGATAGAGAATTTGCATAGTTGTTTGCTTTTAAATGTTAATTCAATGGTGTCAATGAATTTGAATAGAAATTCCACCGAGGGTCATTACTGCTCTTCTTTGAAAACAGAAATGCTAAGTTACATTAAAGCTGAAATTGATTTCCTTACAAATGACAGAATATTGCCTTCATTTCATCATACTTGTGGAAAAATGGAAGCTGTAGGGCTATATTATTATCAATTCATCATATTCTAATTTCTGATTTATGAGCTAAATATTCATCCTTGTCTTTTCTTTTGCAGAGTGTTGCATCTCCTGTGCTGGGTAATGTTCTCAGGCTATCAAAAGTCAAGCATGGCATGAGATATATCAAAATTCCAGGAGTACCTTATGGTGCTGTCTGTGTGTTTATTCGTTTTCTATATTCATCCTGGTATGTTCAAAATCTTTTTCTGCATACTTATTGCCTAAATTTTTCAGCAGTAGTTTGTGGACCTGGGGCGAAATCATTATATGATGATAGTTTCCTGTCTGTTTATACCATTATTTTAAGTGGCAATCAAAACCAGTAAATATGTTAATTTTATCTATCATTTGATGCAGTTGTGGCATGATACTACAAACTAAATTTTGTAGTCTCTTCAAGTTACTCTGTTTATTTCTTTTCTCTTCTGTTTAACACTGCCTTAAAAAGGCCTACGAACATGTGTAACCAAGCTGTTGGACTGTGGCTCTGCAAAGGGTTGCACCATATAACCAACCAAGTCCGTGCACAGTTATTTATGTAGACATAATTTGTTTCATTATATTTTTAAAGGTGCTTCTAAATTCAGTGATTGTAATTTGCAAATAACATATGATTAATATAAAATATGGTTCTTAGAACCTTCATGCAGGAAAGGGATACTGGTTATGCTCAAACTGGATTTTGCTAGGAAAACATTTGTACATCTGTAAAAGGGGAATGGGAAAGCAACTTGTTTTTGCCATTGCGAAGATTTCTATTTTTCCCCCTCTTTGGCAGTATGTTATATTTTAGGTGTTTAAACTTGATAGGCACTGGGACATTGGCCTAAGTTCTTTATCTCTGTCCTTACTTATCCATGTTATAATTGGATATACTCAGTTTTATTCAATATGGCAATGTAGCTACGAAGAGGAAGAGCTGCAGAAGTTTGTTCTCCATCTATTAGTCTTGTCACATTCCTACTCAGTTCCAGCACTGAAAAGAGCTTGTATTTGCCTACTGGAGGAAGGCTTGCTTACCAGGGAAAATGTGATAGATGTTCTTCAGTTAGCAAGAAATTGTGATGCACCTAGGCTTGCCTTCATTTGTGTTCGTATGGTTGTAAAGGATTTCAAATCTATATCTTCAACTGAAGGTTGGAAAGTGATGAAGCGTGCCAATCCTGCTCTTGAGCAAGAACTTGTAGAGTCTGTTGTTGAAGCAGATACTGTAAGTCAAAACCTTCTCTATGTTTGGAGGAGTTTATATTTATTATTCAATTTATTTCAAGAATACAATCTGCCTTTTGTTATATTTGTTAATTAATTTGTTTTCTTTTTCCCTCTGAGGAAGGTTACTTTTTTTTGAGAGGTAACTTTTTGTTGCTGTTGGTCTCTTGAATACAACTGAATATGTTTCATCTTAGTAATTTTCAGTTCTCACTACAAAGCTTCTTCTTTTGAAAGCATAAAGTATATTGACTTCTGTTGAGCTGACTATTTGCAACTACAATAGTTTAGGTTATTACAGCATGGGGCATGATTCTATCACATGGAAACATTTTGTTTATTCACACTTATGAGAACCAGTTACCATGTCATGATTTATGTGTGCGACTTCTTGTATGGTTGCCCTCTCCTCCCTTCCCTCATATAATGTCAATATTTTGACCAACTTATTATTTACTTTCCTATCTGTAAGACTGTAACTTAGAAATTGTATCTTAGCATTGGTTGAGTTTCAAATCATGACGCAAATTATGATACCAGAGTTTAGTGAGGTTTTTGGCTAAAATACTAAAAAAGTCTCTGAATTATTCCAGTTTTGTTAAATAAGCCCCTATACTTTATTCAAATAAGCCCTTATTCTTTTATTTATATTGAATTAAAGCCCTTATTTCAAATAAAAGATTGATTTATGTTAAGGGCTTATTTAGGTACAAATTGAAGGCTAGAGGCTTATTTGAACACAAATTAAAGTTTAATGGCTTAGTTGGATGCAAATTAAAGGTCAATGGCTTTAGGTGCATTTAAAGTATAGGGGCTTATCTAAATAAAGTGGTAAAGATCAAGGGCTTTTTTGTTATTTTAGCTCCTTTTTTTAATGGACTTTAGTGATAGTTGACCTTATGGTTATATGTTATAAAATTGTCCTGTTTTTAAATCATTCGCTTTCTTTCTCTTAGAGAAAGCAAGAGAGGCAGAGGAAAATGGAGGATAAAAAGGTTTACTTGCAACTGTATGAGGCAATGGAAGCCCTCCTTCACATTTGCAAGGATGGTTGTAGGACGATTGGACCTCATGACAAGGTGCTAAAAGGAAGCCAGGTTACCTGCAATTTTCCAGCTTGTAAAGGACTTGAAACCTTAGTGCGTCATTTCGCGAATTGTAAGACTCGAGTCCCTGGTGGATGTGTTCACTGCAAGCGCATGTGGCAGCTTCTTGAACTGCATTCCCGCATGTGCAATGAGCCTGATTCCTGCAAGGTTCCTCTTTGTAGGTAAGCATTAACATTTGACCAAAACATGCTATCAACCACTTTAGAGAAACATTTTAGACATAAAGAAAGGTCAAGGGTGATATTGGTTAACATAAAAGAAAAGAAGGATAATATATAAGGTTTATGCTTGTGTCAGACAATTTCATACTTGCTGTTGAAAGCTTACAAAATGCTTGCAAATTGTGTTCTGATTTGGTTGATTCTGTTTGTTGCAACACCGATTGGAATGCCTGTTTCTTTAGAATACTTTTCCCTGTTAAGCTAGGGTTTTAGTGCAGATGATATCACCTACCATAGTGACAATGCTCCAAAAGCCAATTGATTTATCAATGTTGGCTCGTACTTGTTACCTGGCATTTTGATTGACGATGTGATCCATCATTATAGTTCTTGTCAATGATGACAAATTTAGTGAATATCTGATACTGGTGATTAAAATTGTCTCTTTTCCTATTTCATAGGCATTTTAAGGAGAAAATGCAGCAGCAGAGCAAGAAAGATGAGACTAAGTGGAAGCTGTTGGTCAGCAAAGTTGTTGCAGCAAAGAATGCAGTTGGGTCATTCTCATCTCGGCGGTCAGGTTTATTGTGACATCTTAAATGAGAAAATGGCATTACCATGTACTTTTATTGGAATTGGTTAGTGCTCCATAGTAACTTATACAAGTTCTGAAATGGGAAAAATAAAAAAAATAATATTAATAATGAGTTAATGACAAAATAAATAATAGCAGTTGTTTCTTCTTTAGGAGTATTCTTATCTTTTTTTTTTTTTCTTATTTAACTTTTTTATCTCTCTTACATAATCAATCTAAAGAACAGATGATGTAGGGAGTGAAATAATTGAAATGACATCATTTCTTCCTTCTTCCATTTGATTTTTTCCTGGTTTAATTATTTCTTCTAGTGCTAATATCATCTGCTGTTAGCTCATTCCAAAATGACTTTGCATATGGAAGGGATTGATTTCACCATTTTGACTTCTGGGAGCAAAATGTTTCACCTAGCTGACTTAATCACCATAGTGATTACCATGAAATGGTACCAAGTATCTGTTGGGGACAGATTTTCAGGTGTGCTAATGGCCTTTGAACTGACTACTGAGTAGCTTGTTTCAATGTAAACAAAGGTTCAGAGGCCGGTGGTGTGATCATTTATGGAATGGGAAAGTAATGATTTTTCTGTATCGTATTGTATCATGTCAAACACAAGTAAAACATGGAAAAAATTGTGTCAAATTCGATTGATATACAAAACATATATTTTGGTTTTTATTAAATTCATTAACAGATTTTATTAAAATCGTATTGTTTTTATATTCTTTTTGGCATTATTTTCTTGTAATATCACTATATAGAATTTAAAATTGTCAATACTTTCAAAAGGTTACTAATGAACCAGGGACCTGACAAGTACCAGAGATGAGAACCAATTGTTGATTACCTCAAGTGAGCTTGTCCATGCATTAAACCTAGATTACAGGGTCTAATAATTCCCCCCAAAATTGAACTCAGGATGATAGGGAAAGAAGGTTAAGATCAAAACTAGATTTCATGCAAAGGTCAGCAGCATTTCAGCTGTTGTTTCCGAAGATGGTGACTGGAAAAGTTACATCATTGTTATCTATCAATTCAAACAGGCAGACTTATTCTTCCCTCAAAGCATCCACCGCAAAATTGCTCCAACGGGAGCATAACCTAGCATAACCACAGACCATGTTTTATTGGAAACCTGAAGTTCTATGTTCTTCCCTCCAGGTTTCAAATGATTGGTCTTAACAAATCTTTTCGTAACATTCTGCATAAACAAAAATATAATGTCTTTTCAATCAAACAAACAACAATGCTAATGTCAATGACTTGGATTAGAAGACAAACTTAATTATACATATGTATGTATGTTTGTAACTTACCCCATATGCTTTGCGCAAATAAGAAGGTTTGATAATAACTGTGAAGAATGAATAATTGGAGTTGAATTCTTGGGCGGATTTAAGACAAACTGCTTTTCTTCTGATTTTCTCCAACAACGGCTGCGGATTGATCCTTTTGATCAGGCAAGCTGTCCTGATCAGCTTCATCATCACTAGCTCCATCACAAAATTTCGAAAATGATCAACTTCACTTCTTTTCCTTGTCTTAACAGAATTCAACTTCCTGAGGATCTTTGTCCGAACATTCTTATGCCTTTTCTCCTCGTCAGATTGCAATGGTGGTTCAATTTCTCTTTCTCTAACTCCCTGTCGACATCCAGCCATTGCTTTGAATGTTTTCTGTTCATGTTGGCATGAAAGAGGTTGTTTGCCCTTCGTCCAAGCATCTAGAACTACCCCTTTTTTGCAGCAGTTTCTTCCATAAATTTCAAGCTTAAACTTGGAATTGCCATTGTACCTGAAAAATAGAAAGTGTCCCTTCTGTAGAGAATTTTGTTGGATAAATTCCTTCCAACCCTTTCGGAAGTGCAAAAAATTGTCAGCCTTTTCCACAACAACATGCTAAAATCTCCTACCAGAGTTTTTATGTACGAACCCTTGAGGTAATTTCCTAGGGAGATTATTCTCCAAGTTCTTTACAAAACCATGTGGGATTCGCTATAAAACAATTAATTACGAGTCATACAAAACAAAAACAAAACATTATGAAATAATAGTAACATACATATCATAATTGCTCTTGCACATCGTTCATACAAAGTATTGTTTCACCAATTCCAGGTACATATAATGACAATTCATAATAAAAGAATAATAGTAATAATAATAATAATAATAATAAAAGCGTTTCAGATATTTCCCGTTAAAGAGATGACATAGTCATTCTTTCTTTCTTTTTTTTTTTTTTTTTTTGAGATTATATGAATATGTAGAAATTATATCAACTATCATAATCGAACAAACTATCATAGTATCCGTAAAACAAATCAATTAATAAAACAAACTAGCATCAATTAGATAAAATTTAACATAAAATTGAATCCAATTCATATATAATAAAGTTTTGGGTTAGTTTGAATTTCGAGTGCCAACATAAGGTGCATATGGATAGCATCTTCGTCTAAGTGCCCTTCCAGTCTCGAACTAGAGGGAAAGGATCCAATTGTATATATAGGACAGTCGACATATTTGGTGAGATGATCAATTGTCCTATGCTATCTTATCATTATTACTGTATTTATATCTAAATATATATTCACACAATTAATTTTAATTTCAGTATTACATTATTCAAACTCATCTAATCTCACCATTACTACTGTTTTTAATCTCATTACAACTAATCTCATTAATCATCCAAATTGACCCTTAATATAAAAAGATTTTAGGATTTTTTTTGTCATTAAAACCATATATACCCTCATTGGCAGTTCTTCTAATCCTTGTATATCACGCCTATGCACTGTTTTAAATTTTATATCTATATATTGAACTTGTGCATGCATGGGATAACAAGTGATAAATAGAATAAAGAGCCAACATTGATTAATAATGATAAAAGCATTTTTATACACTAATGATAACCCAAATTTCATAAGAACAATCGAAAGACAACCCTAAGAACGACAAAACGAAAACAAGATCAAGTTTAAAGATTTTTGCTTGAAGAACTAAACGCTAAAGAAACCAACAATGGCAGTCAAAGACAATGCATATATATAAGGGTGACCAATTACCGGCTGGGTAGAGATTTTTCAAGATTAAAATCTTGAAAAAGCAAGGCCTTCTTGCCATTCGAAACTTTGCCATGGGAGATCAAGTGGCTTTGGAGGAGAGGTCCTTTGTTCAAGACATTGACAGCTTTCTTTAACATTATAACAAAGAAAGAAATATTATGAGGATCAAAACCCACAATTTTTTATTACCTGCGTTTGATTACATAAAGGTCTTTTTGTCTGTTTAAAATCGGGAAAGGAGACTTCATAGTAGGTTAGGATACAATCTACAAAGGTCAAAGATAGTGATCCTTGCTTTCCTTGTATTATCATTTAAAGATATATATATATATATATATATATTTTAAGATTACATTTGTGAATTAAGTTTAAATTTATTTTGGTTTTATGTAATTTGTTTGTTTTATTGGTATTGTAATTTTTACTGGTAAAGTGTAATTTTATAAAAATAAAAACTTAACAAGAATAGTTTTACAATATTTAATGCGTAATTGACTTTAAAGAATGATATGAAGTCAATTTCATGGATTAATTTAATAATTTTAAATATATAAAAAAAAAAAAAACAAATGGCATGAATTTAAATATAAGTCTCATTTTTCTCACAATTTTCAAACCTTTCAGACTTAAAATTATTGGGTTAATCTAACAATTTGAAGATTCATACTTAATTTATAAATTATTATTCATTTTAATTTAAGAATATTATAATATATATTGTATTATATTCATATATTTTTTCAATACGAGATTGAAAACGTCTTAGCTCGGGATCTCTGTGAATTGCCCATGCATCGACTATTAACATTAATGTGCCCTTAAGAATGTTAGAGGATATATGGGGAATCAAAAGTGGAGCCGGTGGACTTGGGGGATTTTCTTGTTTTTTGTTATTATTTGATGATGAAAGTGGTCGATGACTAGGATTAAAAGAAGAAATAGCAATGAATATTGCGGCATCGAACCATCCATTTTTTTTATAACTGATCAAATGCTAACCGAATTGATTACCGTGTTTAATTTATACCGATTAAATCATTTTCCTGTCATCCAATAAAAAAGAAGTTTGGATGTGAACAAGTTTTAATAAATTATTTACGCACCCATTTTAATTAATTAATTAATAGTTTGACAAATATAGTGTTATAATTATTAACAGATATTGGCTCAAGTGATCAAAGGAATTTATTGGATTGCCTAAATTTAAATCCATTGAGAGATTGTAAAAATGTAATTTTTATAAATTTACAGCTAATGATTAGTTAATCAATTGTATCATATTAGTGTAAAGTGTTGTTTTCATCAATCTTGTATAAATAAATTGTGCAGTCAAAAGTTTATAATCAATGAAAGAAATTGCAACTTCTTCATAGTTCCTCTGTTATCTGTTCTTGGATTGCTGATTTTGTGCTTCATTGTTCTTCGGTTTCTGGTAAATGTTCTTGCATCATTTTGGTACCAGATCTCCATTCTGGCATCAATGGCAGACAACACAAGGTATCAACATTTCAGGATGTTTCTGATAATAAGTAGTTCTCCCTTTTTTTCTTTCATTTTCACTTCCTTTTGTGATTGAGTTAGTTGAAGCTTCAATGGAAGCACCACAATATTATCTATATATTGTTGCAACATCAAGAGACAGCATTGAGTTTGAAATTAAGTAGATGCTCCATATCTGCTCTGCAAACAATCCCATTTCATCAAACTTCTTGATTCCCAAATAAATTTGAAGTGTTGAAATTAAAAGACAGACTGATGATTAAACAATGTAGGTTAGGCCAAATTCTGCATCCAAACCTAGGATTGCACTCCTAATGTGTACACTAAATGCCAAATACTTGTTAAAGATATAGTTAATTATGCAGATAAGTTGTAAAAGCAAAAGTGTAGAAGTGTTTCATATTGGTTCAAAATCATTGAAACGCCTGACAGGCCCAGAAGGGTGGGGGATGCAAAAAATAAGCAAAGCTTGACAAATATCAGACTATAGAGGAGTCACAAGTCACAACAACTATCATCCTACTCCCACAAAACATGGTTTCCAAAAACATTCAACTAAACAGTAAATCTCAGTTTGTTTACAATTAGCAAGGATATTAAAACATCTTAAGTTATTCATTTGTTTTTGACTTAATGAAAACTGTCAAATTTTGGGCTGTCTGCATCAATAACTTTGCATGATAATGGAAAAGTATTCGGAGTAGTAAATTATTTTTATAAGAAATAGCATGGGAATTCAAGGTGCAAAAACTCACCTCACAAAGGGAAAGTATTTTCTTTATAAAACCTGGACTCCAGTTCAGTAAATATGCTAAAGAAGTTAGATGAAGTGATCTGACTTGGAGGGACTCTCATGGCAACAGTAGTGCTACTGATACCACTCTCCTTGGTTTCTCTTATTGTTGTACTACTTGTTTGCCTTTCATCTGCTTGAGCATAGTCAAATCCAAAAGGAAAATGAAATAAAATCGAAAAAAGTCATTACAAGAGTTTAGAACAGGAAATATGAAATCAGCAAAAAGGAGAAAAGAAGTCAAACTAACCAGTTGTTAAATTGTTGGAGCATCAACTGTTCCCTATGGAGTGAAGTCCAAAAAGCAAGGAG